ATGATTTTTGCGAAGAATGGATGCATTGACTTCCAAGAAGCTTAGCTAACTTCCAAATAAAACGAGGAAATCAGCAAAAGATAACAAAATTGAACTGGAATTTGACAAAGTCGTGTCCCTAATAACAATAACATTAACTGATATCAAATCCTCGCTCTTCAAGATACTTTCAGGTCAGATTTACCTTTCAAGATCAGAGAAATTATTAAGTTTCTCGATTTCTGGTAAAAAGATGGTATTCAACTCATCATAACTCCAGTAACCATCACCATTTCTATCATGCAAACCAAAAAGTGTTGTTGGGTCGTATGTATCTTTATCAAGCTGCAAATAGTCCCAAGTTTGCAGAATCGAAGAGGTCAAAAGGTTGTTCTTAGGTGAAGTCCTACTTGGACGTTGCTGCATCACAAATCTTTAAAATTACGCCTCCTGATTATTCTTTCAAAACAATGTAGAAATGTGCAATTTTTAAAGGATATAATAAAGTGAATTCCAGCATTTTCTTATTTAATTGGTACACACCTTGTCAGTATCTTCCCAAACCTTTTTTAATTGATTACGACTTCCCGGATGCTTCAATGGCTCATGCTTATTATGCAGACGCCGCTGTTCTTCCATCTGCTGTATGTAATGTTCTCGTTCCGTTTGAATCATTTGTGCCTGCCTCATGTATCAAACCCAAACGTTTTGTCGCAAATAACATTCGAAATATAAAGAAAAAGTATAAGAAGCCCTCTGCCTATTAGAAATGTTTCACACCTAAATGAAGATACTTACCAATTGGATTCCTAAAGTCCAAGAATCTAACAATATACGTTACCAGTATATCAAAAGACCGGATACTATCTTTTGAATCACTGAGAGAAGAAACGGTATAAGTTTAGGCAACAGAAAACGAATCTAAAAAATTTTGCTTCCTCCATTTATTTTAAATCATCATAAAAACAGTAAACTGACGCATACCATTTTATGATCTTCTTCAGCTTTTTTTTTCATTTCATATTGTTTGAAGTCTTGTTTTCGCCAATGTTCCAATTCATCCATATCAGCTACTACCTGCAAATTATTGTATAATAAATGATCCATAAAATAACAGTAAAAGATAATAGAAGCCAACTTTGACGACAAGTTTGCGCAGATCCTCTTGGCTGAATGTTTCCCAGTTATTGAAATCCAAATGCTCCGGTATCTAAAATAATAAAAACATAATAAGATAATATAGAATACCCCAAAATTGTCAAATGAAGTGCTACCAAATACCTCTCATAACAAGCTTTTCTGCTAACCTTCTACATAAAAGAATTATACAAATTCCAAGTCACTCCTCACAACTTTTGCAGTCATTACCGTCATTTATAATTTCGCTATCGAATAGTTCGGGCCTTAACATTCCTATATAACTTTTAGTATCTTAATGTATTTTGATGATTGAAATTCGTTGAAAACAACCCATCGGAGATGCGTAAGTTGTTAACATCTGCAGTCCTGACTAATCACGATATTCACACAATCTGATTGTATCAGACTTTTCTTCCATTACATTAAAGAAAGAGGCAACGTCATCCAAGACCAGATGACGATCGGAATATGTTCAAATATAGCAAAAATATGGTTGACAGAGTATGTCAAAGACTGTCATTTGGGCGTAAATTCCCATAAACAATGGATTTAGCTGTTTGAAGACATAAAGAGAATTGAGATTTGAAAAAAGTACTTGGTTATTACAACACAAAATAGTATCTTTAAATGAACTTTGGCATGAACCTACACAGCACGAACCCATCCATTTCTACAGATTCAACAATACAATTAATGCTGACCTTGTTATTAAAATATTTTTACGTATAAGAAAATACTACAGAAAAAGCGACAGTATCAATATCAATAAAATATAGCAAGTTTTTTGTGCTACTGTAAATTATGAGCTCCTAACATTGCTCAGTTTGTTTGAAACCTTTCTTCAGAAAAAGTCGGAATTTCACAAACTTTGATATTATCAGTAGCACCACCATCTGCATCCAGCTGATCCTTTATTTCTTGCTCCAGACGTTGTAATTCCAATATCTTCGCTTTTGCTAGTTGTTCAATAATATGTGGTTCTAACTTGTTGACCATTTCTGCTATTTTGCCACCCTGTAAACGAAATGGTAACATACCACTAATGGCACAGTGATTGTAATGAAAAGCAATAAAACATAGACCTGGAAAGACATCTTATTGCAAAATTATGCTGCCAAAAGACATAAATTAATATACTTACTGACTTACTGTGTTGTCAGACCTTTACATGCCTAAATCTAAGAGATGATGTCCTAAACTATGGAATGATATCTATGAGAAAAAAAACCTTCGTTGGTACAAATTCCAAAAAGCTACACATTATGCAAGCAACAAATCCTGAATGAGAACAGTATGTTAATTGAAGTAGGATTTAACTAGTAACGAACTCATAGACGAATATCGCCATAATGTAATATACTACATAACTTACCTTGTTCTTAAAGTTGTGAAGGATCAAAAACTCTAGTTACAGGTGACCAGAACAGAAACAAGTTACGTGCATCTAATTCATTTCAATAATTAAAACTCCAAATTTTAAACATATTCGGAATGTTTAAACGACAGTCCTATCTAAAACTTTTGCCACAATCAGTTTTATAGAGAAGTTAAATAGCCATTAAAAAAGGGAGAATGATAATGAAATGGCAAGAAACCCGCATTTCCTCTTGCGTCATATTCTGCATAGCTTCTTTCCACTGCGGTGTCGCTTGCAAGATACTGAGCACGGTTTCCAGATACTTCATATATTTCACATATTTCGCTATCTCTTCTTTCTAAATTATTATGGTATATCTTCTTTCTAAATTATTACAGCTTGAAAAAGAAATTGACTTCATACCTTTCCTTAACACTGTGAAGTACCAATTTTATAAAAGTACTGAAAGGTAGTGGGAAACAAAGGTACAGGGGTTAAATGTACCTGCATCTCTTCCCTCCGTTGTTGTTCCTGGTTCCACTGTCGTTGCTTGTCAACACTCTGTAGCTCATCTGCGGTGTCGCGGTTTGGTGGAGCAGCATCTATGTATAACGATATTAATACACAGAACGATAGCAACCACTGCGAAAACATCAGTAGGTTGTCGGTCCTTCAAGATGTTAAAAAAAAAAAAAAAATGTTGTGATTTAGCTCATCGGAACGGAAAATCACAACTTCAACGGCAGTTTTTGTTTGACAGACTAGCTCAAAATAAGTAGAACAAGTCCAACAAATGGACAACTGTTGCAACCATCACCACCGTTGTCGCAAAACTATATCCACACGTGTAAATAATCATCCTCAGTAACAAAATTTAAATTATAATCGGAATGCTGGGCTGAAGTTCATTATCTGCATATGCGAGATGCAGGTTAACGGGAAAGCCTCGACCTCCACTAAGCAAGCATTAAATTAAATACGCAGAACAAGAAGAAGGACAACTGAGGACAAATAGAAAGATCAAAAATGACTTAACTTTGTCATTCAAATAGTGATGCAATTCACGAAACCATTTGGGTATAGAAGACCATTTATGGATTGAGTAAAACATGATGTGAGGAGTATAGAGCTACTGAACATAGAGGGAAATGAAATGGACCGGAATATTAGTGGAGTAGTAGATGTACTGCTGGATGGATTGTGAGGAAGTATTAATTGGTGCCATTGCTGGTTACTCTTCTATAACTCCTACAGGAAAAGAAAAGGTCCCATGCCCATACTCAAGATGACCTAAGTATTAAAACAAGGAATAATTCAATTAACATGTATTTTCAAGACTTTTTTCTCACTGTAGACAAAATACAGATATTTCAAAGAATTCAATTTAATAATTTGAATGCCTTGAAGTTAGAACACTTCTTGATATAAATGAGTTGATTCCTTGAACAACTTATGACTGCTTTGAACTGCTATGCAACTTCTAATCACAGAAATTTGACGGATAAAACAACCTTCGACGGGGTAAAAAGTGACCAAGGAAGAGAATAATACACTGGAGTGCAGTCATTACCGATCTCGGATGACGCGCTGGATGAAAAGACTTTGGTGTGATATGTTTGATATCAAGAATGAGCAGAAGAGAAGTCCTGAGATTTCAGTGAAAGTGTCTATGAGGAAATGAAAGGTTGTTGATATACAGTTAAAGACTTTTGACTATTTAGGGAAAAGATAAAGAAAGATGGTGTATGGAATAACGAAAGGTCTAACTTCAATAGTGAATACGAATGTATTATTTGGAACTGAGTTTGGGAGTAGGTTTGATATAGCTCGAACAGAATTCTCGATATCCGCGTTAGCTATTTTCGATGAATACCTAGTGAAGATGATGAAGATAGGAGTCTGAAACAATGCATTTCAAATCAAAGAGCCATCAACAGATTGCAATTTAACTGCTTAACGACGGTCTTTTGCTATTTTGAAAGGAACGAACTGATCAAGATGTTGGGGCGCATCAAAATCTTGTGACGAATTCTAATTGAAAAAATACTATAAAGTGTGAGAGAATATGTTGAACATTAGCGTTACGATGACAACTTCTTCGTTAAGTGATTTACCTGATCATGAATGTTTCTAAATAACTGGTTGAGAAACGACTTAATTTTTCAATCCATTCTGTGCCAAAAAGACTCTTGCGGTTGGAATTGCAATACATAGCATGAGCCAGACAGTGAAGTTGAATTAAACTGATAAATGCATTTACAATTTACCATGTAATTAAATAGGGTCAAAGGCAATACTGCCGAAAATTTCGCAGTTTGGATAGATCTAAAGAATTGGTTTTGGTGTTTATGACATTGTGAACAAATGAAATCATCCGAAATTCTGGCTGCAAAGTTATGGATTCATGAATGTGGAGCACTGGTTTTCCCTGAGATTTACATTACACAACTTCTGCGGCACTTATGAGAAAGGGCACAGGTGAGAACAAAGCTCTCCTTTGCGAACAAATTTCACTTTCTTACATATGGAACGGTCAGTTGCATGTACAATGAAGCATAACACCACAAAATCAACATGCAGTTTCGGTTTTCTTGTTTTAGATTTAAACTTGAAGACAACACCAATACTTTTAAGACCAATAATGGGAGGTTAAACCATTCCTGTGTTAAAACCACTTATAAGAGTGAAAATAATGACACCCTTTTTTGACTTCGTTGTGAAGTTATGAAGGGGAAATATTTCAAGAGCTAGGCCCTTGCTTTGCTTTAGGTCAATGCTGTCAACGGTTGAAGAGCAAAGCTGGAAAGCCAAACAGTGATTTGATTGTTGTGTGCTATGAGGGCTTCTTTCGATAGTGAGATCCAAGTAACAAGTGTCATGCTGTGATGGCCTGGATGCATTCTTTTGAAAGGGACGGACAATAATCATATCCCCGAGTTGTATTATTTGGAATTTGAAGGTGTTAAATGTGTAGTATGTACTTATGCATGTATGTAAGCAAAGAAAACTAGACCTAAGTACTATGGTTTAAGAGAGGTCATATTAAATTGCTGCTTGCGGGCATTAATGAGTTTAAACTTTGCCTTATGAGTTCTTCCTAGATATTCCACGATATAAACAGAGCAAGCAGATCAGTGTAAATTGCGGAATAATCAAAGTTTAACAAATATACAGCACAGATACGTCACTTTCAGCCATGTCAAAGGGAATGGGTTATCCGTATTCCGGATCGTTATGTATCTAACGGAGCAGTAGCTCGGAAGACAATGGAACTCGGAGAAATGAATCTTGAAGTGGAACTTGAAGATGAAGATCAAGAATGTATACATCATTGATGTCCATGTGCTCCTTGAAATTCAATATTCAAAAGATTAAAAAGCAGCACATCCAATATTGAAAGGAAATTAATAACCATTACAAACAAATGACTAATGTGAGCAACAACATCCGTAGTAAACAATAAACATCTTCGAGATCAAAACAGCACGCCAAGTCCATAGAAACCCAACCCACCAATCCACGTAAAGTCAGGACAACTGAACCAGACCATGTCATCATATAATTTGGAGACTTGTTACGCAACTGTGTGTCCCATTCAATATGGCGAATGAAAATATAGCCCTAACAAACTAAGGACGTCGCACATGCCTTTCTCAGCCTCGTATTGTGTTGTGTGGGAGGCAGTACTACGAGTGGTGTGCTATCTACTCAAGAGGATCGAGACGATTTATGACTTTGAGCAAGTACGTCACTCCGTGTCTTATTAATTTAAGGAAAAATCATATTAATTTAAGGTTACATTTTGATCAAATCAAAAACTAAAAGTGAATTTGGAAGATAATAACGTATAGCACAAAATAAATCATCTACTACATTAAGTGTCTCGCAAGTTCCTGTAAGTCTCACAACTCTGAAAATCAACTGTCGTTATTTTAAACTACGCTTGTAATAATCTCAGGACCATTTCATTATTATGAAATGGCGCGTGTTTCTGAAATTTCTACTCATTCTGGTCCTTAAGTTGATTAAATGATGAACTGGAACTTCCTGAGGTTAAGCGTTGTTTATTAGATTAGCTAAATAATATAATGAAGATACGAATCATTCCCTCCACTCAATAATTATAAGAAGGCAAATAAGGCAGTTTATATGAATTTATGAAGGGACAAGCTGAATATATATATATTCATATATGCATTACATACAGATCCAGTACTGCTCAACAAATATCTTTCATAAATTTGCTATAAAATTTACACGCTCAAGGCATTGTTTGCAAGTTGGAATGACTGAATCCAAAAAAAAAAAAAAAAAAAAAGATTACTACTTTGAGACAAATAAGACGAATCTAAACAAATACAGACAGATGTTGTTCAAGAACAATCAAGTTTCAACTCCTGTGGAATATAAAAAAACTTCAAGTAAAAAAAAAACATCTTTAGTACAATAGGATAAGACACAAACATGTCAAAAATGGTGTATGAAAAAACACCCGTCCCCAACAATTTTCCTAAATTGAAGTTTTTAAATGGAAGTTTTGTGTTAGCAAAAAAAAAAAAAAAAAAATTGAGACATCATTCCGCAATCAAATTTTTGACAAATAAAGAAACATGATTAAAATTCACTTTTCATGCTTCTCAAAATTTCATTCGGAAATATTAAAATCAAATGAATGACATCAAATAAACCATATGTTAGTATCCAAGTCAGTATAACTCAACTGCAGTTGAATAAAGTACCACTTCCTAAAGCTAGAATAAGAGAAATTGTAGTCTTCCTTTCAAAACATTTGCTCTAATTTACCATATTTCATAAAATTCTCAAAAATCACAAATTCTGATATCACAATAATTTTGAAACAGAGCAGCAAAACTGATAAACTTTTTGATATCAGCACCAGTATTGATATATTTTAGCTCTCAATACTGTACAGAGAGAGAGAGAGAGCAAATATTAGCTAACAGGTTTGTAGCCTACATGACCAGATTGCTCCAAAACCCATTACTGCGCTTGATTTTTACCTGCCGTTTTAGGCGGTGAAGCTGTAACAACTGAACGTCTTTGTTGTTTCTGTTTATTTTGAGTAGTTGCTGTTGCTGTTCCTAGAAAACGTAATATAAGGTCATAAGTTTCATATCTTTAAATAGTGAAGTTATTCAATGATTCACTTTCTTACCTACAAGTCAACCGATATTGTCTTAACGCATAACTTTGCTTATTCCAAATCTTGTGCAGTAACTGAAGTTACTATTCTATAGCATGAATAGGCTAAGTAGGTTGGACATTATAAAGAAGCTAGAGAATTGAATATTAGAAAGAAACGAAGATCGGAAAGTTAGAGAAATCAAGCGATTTATGTAACAGATGATTCAAAACTTATTTCTTCTTGTTCGCTTTTCTTTTTATCATGGTCATTCCTTAACCGTATTATCTAAGAAGTCTTTAATAATACTTGGCACGAATTTAATGTATTATGATTATTCGCTTTATTACGATTATATTTCGAAAAAATTAAGGGTGATCAATTTGTTGGACATGTGTAGAAAATGAAAAAAGTAAGTGTTGATTCATAAAATTTCGCCAGAAGTCTCTCCTTCCATCTCGACTGACAGGGAGAGACATTCGATAGAATTTCATTCCTGCTACTGAACGGGATATTCATAACAGGGACAATGTAAGTCGTGTGAAAAAACATTTACCATTCAGTATCCTTTGCTGCTGACTGACTACCAACGACGTTTGTACGATGTGTTTCGATGGTGGATTATTTGTTGGCTGACAGTGTTTTCGATGCCATCTTACTTCATCATGAGGTGGTACGGATGGTGGCGACTGCGAAAATTTTGATTTTTCGGACTGAATAGCTACAGAAGGTCGTAATGGCTCTCTCAGTTTAACAGAATCCCGTCCGAGCTAAAATTCTTGTGAAATAATAAATTAGTTTGAAAGTTCAAATTTGGAGCTACACTGCTTTGAAAATTTAACGCTCCAACTTTCTAAAAAACCTGCACATTCACTATTTCAAATCTCTGGCGAGAAAATAGTTAAACTGTACCGAATTAAAACAGGAAGTATGTTCTAAAATTTTAAGAAATCTAAAATATCCTGCCATGATAAATTAATATCAAAACAGCTAACAATTTGTCAACCATGGAATTAAAAAGTGGTTTTTGATTATTGACATTGTACATCTTTTTGAGGGCTTCATACTGAGATCGTATTGTTTTGACAGCCTAAGATTTGGACATTTATTAGAGTCTTGATTTTTCTCTTAATATCAATCAGTTGAATTGTAGGTGCAGAATTTTGCGATGAAATCTCAAGAAACTGATTCTCAGTGATGTTAGAAAACCTTAAAATTCTAATTAGATTTCTTAAGCAGTTACAGCAATTAAAATTTAAAGGAAAAATAAATAAAGATGAAACAACCATTTCGACGTATTTTAATCAAAAATCCGATAAAAAAAAACAAACGAACGTCGATAACAGTTGCACTATCGTCCAAAATTTGACCCGTACTATGTCGTAGAGCAGCGGTAGAGCGTTTGGGTTCATTAGCATTACTTTCTATAGCAGTTATATATGGATCACGAAAACGAATTCGTTCATTACGTCTGCGGCGTCGCTCACAGCGACGAGCTTCACGTTCAAGCAAATATCGTTGATGATCGATTTGTTTGGCCAAAATATTTGACAAACATACTGATATACACTGGAAATTATAGAAAAAAGCATATGTAGACGATGGAAAGAAAAAAATAAAGCACCCACTACTTCTCAAGCATAAACCCTTTCAAATCAACATTTTTATAAATGCTAGCTGAAAGAATTATTTGCATAATTTCTTGTCATCATTATTATTGAGGAAAACATACGACAGGAATAATGATAATGGCGATGACAGCACCAACATGTATGGCATGACTTTCAAAAAGTATCCGTAACGGTTGCAAGCATCCTCGTGTGTGCAAATCAGCTTCCAGTTCTTGAGGCCGTTTTGTTTGCGCATTTTGCCAACATTGCAGTGAACGCATCGCTGGCAATAAAGGATTGGAAGAGCCAGCAGCTGCCTCTGATACCTATTTTTTTCACTACGAAATTATTCGTAAACTATCTTTTCAATTAAATGATCATTCTTCTGCCATCATAGATGAAAAAAAATTCATCAGGACATGTCACAATATATTACTGCATAAAACACTTAAAACACAAAAAATTTCTTCTCTCTCTCTATCTAATGGCTTAAAAACCAATACAAATTCAGCAAAAGTCACAAAATGGAAACAACTTCTAATTCGCATAAAAATAGTCCTGCACGAACATATATGAAAACTTTTGAAAAACATTGAAAAACACTCCATTAGAATTCGAAACTTACCACAGAGCGTTTGCAGCAGCTGAATGGTACTCCACACTTTTCTGGATAAGGATTCGCTGGATTACAGTTAAACTGAGCCGAGAGCTGCCAATCCCTATAACCCTGTGAAGTTGACGATACACCACAGCATTCAAGCTGCAACATCATGCTTGTTCACTGTGTTGTGGTAAAAAGACTGATACATGGACTTAATTCCTTTTTTTTTCGCATATAGATTAATGTCACAGACTTCAACAGTTAAAAATTCGGATTTCAGAATTAAATTTAAGAACTCTCCAACAATTTTTATGATGATACAAATATGAATTTATGCATAAATACTGAAACTGGAAGTATAAATGAGAAAAACAAAAAAGTTACCTGTTCTTGAATATAATCCACAAAATCCGCTAAATTTCTGTTGGTATGATAGTTTTTAACTGAATAAATGAGTATACTGTGCGCCGAGAGGCCTTCCGTTGTATCGGAATAGAATAATATAAATAATAAAAAGGTGAATATTACAATAACAATATAACAGAAAAAAACACTGAGTGCGAACTGAAACTTAAGAAATAAATTTAGAAGAATTATTATTAATATTATACATTTAATAAGAGTTTCTCCACTGTACCATGTTAAAAATTGTTTAGAAAATTTTATTAAGTATTTAAATATTATAAATCACGCTGATCTTAAGATAATCTGCAAGCTGTTATTCTTCACAGCTTACAGATTATCAAATGAGGTGAAAAAAATTCGCCTCATGAAATTATTAAACGAAGGTGAGTAACCGTTTTGAGCAAAGCAATATTATCTCTTAGTGCACCAAGGGAGCCCATTAATGAAACAATGCATATGGCAAGCCCAATAATGGTGAGCATAACGGCTGGATTTAGGAAGACATCCGCCCATTCAGTTATTGGTCGTGGATCTTTGATGCACAAATATACACCGAGTGCCAAACATGTCACACCG